AGCGGGGGGTTGGGGAGGGTCTTTTACTTTAGTGTTGTCTCTGCCACCAGCCCCTGCTGGGTCGGCCCATCTGCCAGGAAAACCCGTTCCGGGCACAGGAGACTCCCTTAGAGGCAGGCTCTGCCCGTCCCGGGTGCTGGCAGGCCAGACAGGACCACATAGGCCCAGCTCCTCGTCGTAGCCGGGGCCTTGCTTCCCATGAAAGCGCCCCCTCTTCCCCCCCCCACCCCGACCCCCCGCCCCCGTCAGCACAGACCCTGCCCCTCTGGGTGCAAGTCTGACCAGCTGGTGGTGGGACGCGGGGCCCAGGGGGCTGTGGCTGCCCAGTCCAAGGGCATGGCCTCCATCAGGGCAGAGCTGAGTGTGCCTCCCCCTCGTCCGCTCCCTGCCCAGGCGCCTCAGGTGCTGCCTGGCGTGTGAGTGGGCACAGCTATGCCCTGGGACCTGTCCCTGTGACTGGCTCTTGGCCAGACAGGTTCTGAGTGAGTGACCCTCACTCCCGCTCCCCAGCCCCCCGCCCTGGAGGCGGCGCCTGTACCTCCTGAGAAAGGGGGGCACCGAACAGCCGGGGACCTGCCCCCCCCCCCCCCACCACCCCCCCCCCAGCCCCTGCCGGCTCTGGGGGGCGAGGAAGCGGCCACCCTGGGATGGGACCGCGCTGTTTGGGCACCTTTCTGTGGCAGGATGGCCCACTGTAAATGTCACCACGTTCCCTGCGTGTCCCGTGCCCCCTGAGGCGGGGCGGGTGTGGAAGGGAAGGCACCCGCATGAGAAGACCTTTCCACAGAGGTGCAGGGCCGCACAGCGGAAGCGAGGCTTTATTTTTATAATGAAATACAAACAATTGCAAACGGTGTTCTAGTCAAGTCACAACAGAAACAGCTACAGCCCCAGAACGAATGTGTCCCGTGACCCAGCGCTCGACCCTGGGGTGACCTGCCCCCCTCCACCCCCCGCCCGGCCAGGGTTGTCCACCCAGCACAGACCGACCAGGAGCCGACAGTCCCCAAGGAGCGCCTGCCTGCCCCCTGGGCCTCGGCACCCCCGCATCCTCAGACCTGCACCCCACCCCCTCGAGGTCAGCCCCACACTGGGGACCACATTCTCCCTGGGGTGGGGCTCCCTTGGGACAGGGTGGTCTGCACGTGACCTGCTGCCAAGGGTGCATATGAGCGTGTCCCAAGGCAGCCCGCACCGTGCGGCCCAAGAACACGCTACACGGCGAGACGGGTCCTGCCTGATCCCTGACGTGCAGGTCCTTAGTGTTTGCACTTCCCCGTGAGCACCGAGTCCCAGTCACATGACATCCCAGGGGCTTTTTAACTCCAGGACAGAACTGCCTGCACCCCTCCCCCTTGTGAAGGCCGCAGGGTCAGGAGGCCTGCTCCCCATGCCCTCCGCCTCTGGTTCAGATGTTTGTGGGGGGCCTCTGTGTGTGCCTGCAGGACTCGGAGCCAGCCGTGCGCCAGGCGGCCCTGTGTGTTCCTGGGGGGCCAGCCCATTCCCCATGGTCTGCACGTAACCTGCTGCCAAGTGTGCATATGAGCGTGTCCCAAGGCAGCCCGCACCAGGCGGCCCAAGAACACGCTACACGGCGAGACGTGTAGCACACTTGACAGCAGGTTACGTGCAGACCATGGGGAATGGGCTGGCCCCCCAGGAACACACAGGGCCGCCTGGCGCACGGCTGGCTCCGAGAAGGGGAAGACACGGATAGCAGGCCTGAAGGAGGTGCCGACGCGCATGGGCCATGAGCGTGGAGCCATCACAAGGGCCTCAGTCTGTCCTCTCACCCCTAACCCTCCACCACCTGCGAAGGCACCACAACCCAAGGGGGCCGGGCCGGGCGGGGAGCGGTCAGGCTCAGGAAAGGGTCCTGGCAGATGGGCCCCAGCAACGGGAGTCCCGGTCCATTCTCCTGGGAGCTGCTCCAAGGGACCTGTCACCAGGGGCCCTGGGTCCCAGGGGCTGTGCTACTCGTGGGAGAAGCCAGCCACATGGAGTGAAGGGGACAGCACCTGGCGATGCTGCTGCCTCACATGGAGCCGTGGCCGCAGGGCCAGAGCCCTGCTCCTCTCCAGGTTTCTCGGCCCACGGCGTGTGTGTAGAAAGGGACCTGACCCATCAGCACCTGCAAACCGAAATGGAGCCAAAAAGCAGGGTGGCCCAGGGAGGCGGCTGCCGGGGACGTGCCGGCCTTGGGTAGCGCAGGCGCCCAGGAACTAGGAGGCCGGCCGGCCCGCAGGGAGCAAGGCGCACTGTCACCAACAAACAGCCTGTAATCGCGGGGACTGAAAGGAATTGAGAGTCAGCCTCCCTGTGACCCCCGTGCCGCTGCCTCCAGCCCACGTCCACGCTCAGCCGACAACGCCAGAACCAGCCAGCCCGGAGCCAGCCCAGCGCTGTTCATGTGGAAAAGGCCGCTGGGTGCCCCTGTGCCCCGCACTGCACTAACATACATGGTCCTCAAGCGGACGGACGCCCGGTGGGTCGGACCTGGCTGAAGGGAGTGCTGGCCCCGGCGTGGACGTGCCCCTGCCTGCACCCAGGTGTTCTCACCTGGAACCCCTACGGGTCATCTGGTTAGCACTTTCTTCACCTACTGGCTGAGCTCAGAGTCCTGTGAGGAACAGTGCCTGAGGGTTGATCTGAAAATGTTCCTGTCAAAACCCACCATTACGGGACCAAAAAGAAGAGCTTTTTAAACAGAAAACATGGGAGCCTGGTGTGCGGCCAGGGCTCCGAAGGGTGGGCAGGGTGGGAGCTGAGTACGCGGCCCCTGCCTGGGAGCTGGGACCTGGCACCTGAGGGACCCTCCCCGCTGGCCCCACTGCGCTCCAGGCGTTACGGGTCATTAGGTGCTTATTCTCCAAAGATGGACTTGAAGGTTCCAGACGCTCCGTTTACAGCCCACCAAGTACTGCATCAACAAGTCTGAATTTAAACCAGCTCGGGGCCGTGCAGAAAGTGCGTGTCCGTGAGAAGCAGCGAGTCCGCGGTGACACCACTGCTGGCCCGACTGCAGCCTGGCCCGCCAGGCCGGTCTCACGGTCGTGCTCCGGCAGCGCTCGGTCACCAGGACTGCAGACCACGTAACAGAGTTCGGACAAGCCTCCGTGGGTGGTGGGTCACCACCTCGCGAAGGAAGCGAGTGGCCTCCCTGCCGGGCAGTGTGGGCAGGGCCTGGCGGGCAGGCGGGCTC